GGAGCGTCTGCCCCAGGCACCGTACGAGCGCAACCCCGCCGGCTGGGTCGGGCCGCTGGCGCTCGGCCTCCTCACCGGCTTCGTGGGGGCGTTGGGCGCCGGGGCGCTGTTCATCACGCTCACGCTGTGGCTCACGGGCGGCGACGGCTATGGCCCGGGCCCGGGCCCCGGCCCGGGCCCTCCCCGGCGCAGGCCTGCCCAGGCGCGCGGCGGGCGGCCACCCAGGCCGCCCCTGTCTGCAGGGCAGCTCGAGCCGTCGAGGGCCCGGGCTGCACGCGGGCCGGTCCCCCCTCGCCTCAGTGCCCCCGGCTGTAAAACGGGAGCGCAGCCCCGGCAGAGTGCCGTCTTCCCCGTATTATAAACGTTACCAAATACGCAACGGAGGGAGCATTCGTTGGTTTGTTGGAAATGGCCGCACACCCGGCGGGACTGCCGGTGGGAGAGGAGGGGCTGGGGTGCTAGGGTACCGGGGTGGGAGGCAGGCCCTCCCTCTTGTCAGCCTTAGAGCCTTCTTATCTCGCAGTACCTCTTGCACCGAGAGCTACCATTTATTGAGTGCCAACTGTATGCCAGGCCCTGGGCTAAGCGGGTTGCGTACGTTATTTGATAAAATCTTCAGAACCCAAGAAAAGCAGGTATGATCTCCATTACACATAAAGAAACTGGCCACAACTAGTCGGTGGCATAGTCAGGGTTTTCAACCCAGAGCTGCCTGAGCTGAGAGTTTGAATCCCAGAGGGAGTGATCTGTGACTCCCCAGAGGGAGCTTGACAAACCACGTGCGACCTGAACAAGAGGTGGGGTTTCTGTTTACTCTGAGGCCCTGCAGGAGTGTGCAGGGGGGGGTGGCACAGCTAGAGGTGGTGTCCCCACTTTCAGGGGCTGCTGCCTCCAAGCCGCTCTTCTACTCAGACCCCTGAAGGTCCACCTGGAGCCCCAAAGCTTTCCCACCCACCTGAGTGCCCGGGGCCCTGCCAGCCCATCTAAGGAGCTGAGCCTGGGTGAGCCCTTAGACTCTGTCCCCTGTCACGGGGGAGGGCAAAGAGGACAGCCGTGGGGTCTTGCTGGGTGGGAGGGTCTGTCCACCCCCCCCCCCCCGGGGGGCCGAGGGGCTTTGCTGTGAGAGCAGTGACAGAATGACAGGCCAGTCCAAGAGGAGAGTTGAAAACAAGATTGACGTAACCCTTTATTGCAAATTCTAAAGTAAAAAGATGTACAGTACAAAGTAAAATTGAAATTTCAGACTATAAACTTCCAATCCACTTATGCATTCTCATTTCTCAAGCATTTCTGCCATTTCCGCGTAAACGGAACAGGGAACAAGTCGAGGTGGTGAGGGAAGGAGATACAGCGAGGGAAAAAAATTAAGTGTCTAGAATAATCACAAACCCCAGAAGCAAGTGAAAGGAAAGACATTTTCTCGACCTGCTGTCCTGGTGATGAGAAGCGGGGGTGATTGGAGCAGTGCAGTTTAAAATGGCTCTCAGAATAGCAGCATTTATGGTACCATTTCATCTTAAGTCCAAATAATTCTTTGCCCTTCCCTAGTGCCTTTGCCTCTGTATCTCAAAACACTTTACAAAACATTTAGTTAAAGCCTCACAACACCCCTGTGAGGTAGGTCAGTATTATTATCCCCATTTTACAGATGAGGAAACTGAGGCACAGAGAGGTTAAGTGACTTGCCCAAGGCCACACAGCGAGCCAGTGGTTGAGCTGGGGATGGAACACAGGAGTTCCGCCCCTTTTCTGGAACCACTGGACCACGCTCCCCTTTACCTATATACATTCTTCACACACACACATCACACGTGCACACCCGCCCACCCCACCCCACTTAGCCTCTATGTACAGCAAACAGCAGTGGGGGGCAGGGGCAGGGGGTGCCTCAGGAGCATTTTAATGGAGGAAATCTTGGAAAAGGAATCCAAGAAGGCACAGAGCTGAGCCACAAAGCAGACTCTGTGCAAACCTTGGGCCCCTCCCGACCCAGACTTCCTCCTCTCTCCTGATGTCCCCCTGGCTGGCTAGTTGCAGCCGATTCTTTAGGGGGTGGGGGTACCTGAAAATGAACGAAGCTTTTTGCAAGACTTTGGGCAACATCTGAGAAAAGAAATAGGCATCATTGCAGAAGACGCCCAGGACTCAAGTCACAAAGTCGTAACCCATGGCGATCTCACCTCCACAGCAGGCCTGGAGGCTGGGGCCGAGGGGAGGAGGATGGGGACTGACCTACCAGCCAGACTAGAGTGGGCACTTCAGAGTCCTCCTGAGAGTGTTCCTGGACCAGGAGACATGGCCTAGAGAGGGATGTCCCCAAAGCAGGGCAGGGTGAGGGAGGGGAGCGGTGCCCCTCTCCCCTGCACGGATGTGAACGAGACCAGCCGTAGTCTGCTGGTGTATGTGTTGGGGTGATGGAGGGCAGGGCCCAGCGTTAGCTAGCAGAGTGGAGGCTGTTGGGCATCGTGCTCGCCCGAGCTTTGGGGCATCGGCATAGCTCTTTCCTTAACGTACTGGTGAGAAAGGCAGAAGTGAGGCCAGCCCGGCCGGGTTGGCTGACATCATCTTGGGGGGCTCTGCCAGGTGGACTGGTGAAGAAGGGGTTTTGTGGACGGTTAAGCACTGGCCCGGGAGTGGGGAGAACATCACATGCAATGGGTGAGTGGGGGCCTGGGGGGGGGGGCGGTGGGGGGTTGGTGGGCAGGACCTTGCTTTTCTCTCCAATCTCTACTTCTCAGCCAGAACTTAGCGAGAGAGCCTGATCTCTCTCCCTTCCGTTCCCCTCCTTTCCCCACACGTGCTAAGGTCCCAATTCCCAGACCCCTCCCAGGACTCAAGAATCGGGAGAGTCAAGCAACAGACGGACACCAAGACAGGCTTCCCTTGTACAGTAAAAAGGGTCATTTTTATTTTGTTTCCTCTTGGCTTATAGTAGTGATGTACTTTGTTATCACGTCTCATTTAGAGCAGTGTTGGCCTCCATGCATTCACTAATACACTCATCTTCACTAGTGGTCTTTTACAAATTTACACGGGTTGCGGCGGAAAAGAAAAGAACTCTGGGCACTGTCGTTCCAGGGGCTTTGACCGGGAGCTTCTGCTTACTTCTCCCCAGTCAACTTCCGACACCGAAAGTGGCTCATTTAGAGAAGTGGGAGTAGGTCACGTTGACTCGGGAAGGTTTCGCTGCTCTCGCCCTCTGAATTACGGAGCCTCCTCAGCCTGAGCAGCAAGGAGGTTAAGGGAAGAAGAGGGGAAGGTGTTTTGCACACACAAACCAGCAACCGTGTCAGCTGCTGCTCAGTGGCTTTGGCTCTGCATTTTAAGTTAACAGCATCACACGTCTTTTTGCTTTTTGTCCTTTTTTAAAGGTGAATTGTGGAGTATAAATACTGCACCAAGGACCTGGCTACAAAAAATAAATATTTATATTATATTTATATATCTATATATATATATGTGCAGTGATACTGTGGCTGCTGCTGCTTTTTGATTGGCTTCGTTAATATTTGGCAAAGCGTTGCCACTTACCCACCCGGCGAGGGCGTACAAAAACGTCCTCGCTGGTTCTTTCAGTTCAATGCCTGTTAACTGCGGGTGTAGACTGCTGGTGATGGTGTCACTTACTACCGAAGAAGTGTGGAGCAGGGCGGGTGAGTGAGAGAGTGAGTGAGCGAGTGGGCGGAGGGGCGGCGGGTGAGGGACAAAGAAGGTAGGAAAAGTTAAAAAAAAAAACAAACAAAAGTTGAAACATCAAGTTAAGAGTGGAGGTGGCTTCTTCCCTGTGAAGCTGGCTGATGGGTGTCAGATACCAAGGCCCATGTGTGTGTTACTGAGGAGATAGCTGCTGGGGGTCTGGGGGAGGGAAAAGGGCAGATCTTAGAAAAAAATCTCATTAATATGCTCTAGTAGCTTAATGACATCACTAGCACGAGCACTTGGGGTACCGAGCGGGGTCTTCTAGCTCTGTTGCCCATCTCAAGACCTAAGAACAATGATGAAGTGTAGCCAAATCTTGCATAGAAGTGGTTAGAATTTATTGCACATTGGAACAAAAATATATATATTTTTTTGTTGTTTTGGAAAAGACCATTAGCAATAAAAAATTTTTTGTCTGTCTGTCTGGTTTGGGGATGTACATTGGCTGACAGCATCTAAGTTCTAAGAAGAAAGAAAAGTATAAAAAATAAAAATAAACATGACAATGGCATAAGCCAGAAGCCATTTCCTATTTAATAAGTTGTTAATTTGTATTTACAAAAAGGCATGCCGATAAAATAAAATGATATATTACAGTATTTATAATTCTCTTAAAAAGAATAGCCACACACGTCAGCTTCTGTTTTGTGCTGTTGACGACGTCGCCTGTACATGTTACTATACATTCGTCCTAGCGGTTAGCAGGGTCACTGAGAGAAATGCTTTTCCAACCTGGGTCGCGTGTAGTACGAAAGTTCTACGGAGGAGGCCGCAGAAGCAGGCTTAGGAGAGCCGGGCAGAGTTTCTAATGGTCCAAGAAGACAGAAAGCTCGGCTTACTGCCTCGCTGTGTTGGTCGTATGCAAAACTAGTCGGGTGGGTGGTGCGGTCCCACCGGGTGCTTCTGCTACAAGGCAGACTGGTGTGTCTGATCGCGGGGGGTCTTTAGCCCCCCCCCCCCCCTACTTTATGGTGCAGGAGGAATTTTAGTTTGGTTTAGTTCGCATGCTAAAGTCTCTCCTCATTCTTTGTATCGACTTCCTGAGACACTCAACTGCAGCATCCTGGCTTTGAGATCTAGTCCTCGGATGAGAAGCCCCTGGACTAAAAACCGTCTTCCCTAAAGCGGGAGAGGGGACGGAAGACAGGACGCTCCCCCCAGAGCCACCCTCCGATGACAGCGGGCAGGTCGCTAAGCAGGCAGCACGACGGGCTAGAAAGGGGACGTGCCGGGTGGGGGAAGCTGCGACAGCTTAGGAATTCGTACTGAATCGCTTTCTCATGAGAATCGGTGCGATAAAGAAACCACGTGGGCTTGGTTCATCTCTACCTCGGGTCCCACCAGTGACTATGTGTTCGCTAGAACGTGAAAGGAACCACAGCCGTTAGCCCCAGCGCGGCCGCCCTCACCCGCCTCTGCAAGTAAGGGAAGCCCTGCTTGGTGGAAAGACGAGATGGAGACAAGAGACATCATGCAGTGTGTGAGCTTGTGACAACCCCTCTGCCGAGGGAGAGGCCCGTTCAGGATATCCGAACCCCTCTCCGGCTGGACCCAAGCCCGGAGAGAGCCACAGTGCAGCAGGACGTGATACTACCTGAAGCGAGCACCCCAGACACCCCCGTGAAAGCTTAAGTTCCCCAAATTACCCCCTAGAGATGCCAT